TATCTTTGTTCTTCCTTGGCATGCAGAGCCCCCACCAGACAGACATGCACCCAGCCCAGAGGGCCCAGCAAATGTGGGAAAGGGATAGACAGCAAGCATTTATGCAGTTCCTAAAGAAGGCCTGGCTTTGACCGACCTTTTGGTTTTTCTGTTGTGTTTCTCCTGTTTCCCTTGCAAGGCTGGAGGCTGATCTCCCAGGCATTACTTAAGCAGGGAGTGTGCATGTGCCTCAAGGTGAGGCTCCAGAATTCTGCAGCTGTAAAAGCAGTTGTAGCAAGTACTGACAGAATCACAAAAGCCACGAGGAACATGAAACCCTATGTTATTTATTGGTTCACTAGTGTTGAATTATTACAGTATTGTAGGTGTGGAAAATATGTCTCTAGATAGAGCAAATTATCTCAAAACAACACAATGTTTCTAGGTAAGTGATAAAAATTCAGAGTTATTTTGCAAACCAGAACATTTATTCATAGATCGAACTAGTGAAAAGTAGATATTTTTCATTTTTTAGAGACAGTGTCTCGATCTGTTCCCCCAAAATGGAAGTGGCTGATCATTAGCTTATTGCAGCTTACTCTGGGCTCAAGGACCTCCTGTCTCAGCCTCCGAGTAGCAGAGCCAACAGGCATGAAGACACCATACCTGGCTGATGTTTAACAGAGTTTTGGTAAGAATGGTCTTCTCTATGTTGCCCAGCTGGTTTGAACTCCCTGCCTTAGTAATCCTCCACCCTCAGCCTCCCAAAGGAGTAGATATTTAAAAATCTGATGCAAACGTTTTGTTTGGATCAAACCTTAATCATCACTCCATTAAATGGAGAGCAATATTAAAATGGTTTATTGTTAAGAAGTGCTTCAAAGCAAACCACGGCTGTTTACTTTGTCCTTTTCTCCTTTGTACCCTACCATTGCAAAGATGTTCAGAACATACCCCTTCATCTTGGAAACACTAATGACAGTTTTCATCCCTCTTAGGTCGTGGAAGCTGCATACTCTTCCTCCTTTCTTCCATTTCCTGGTTTTATTGCAAAGTAGTGAGAAGATTGGGTTTCCCATCGAGCCTTCCCCTCCTGGTATTCTCTGGTGCCTCCGTTGCTGGACACGCCTCATCCTGGGACTGTCCTCAGCTACAATGGAAAATGCAGTATGTTGCTGCGATACCAAGCTGGCCAAGTGTTTCTCAGCCTTATACGAAGATACACACCACAGGGGCCTAGGTCAGCAGATACCTGCTGCTTTCCTGGTGCCTTCCCTGCCAATATGAATTGACAATTCAGCCAGGACCAAACATTTCTTTTTTATTTCACGAAAGCCCCAAAGTTGCTCAATGGCAATTCATGTTCAACACAAAGGAATCCAAAATTCACTTAAAAAATTGTGATAGTCTGCTGGGAGGTAGCAAGAGGGTGCAGAAAGTGGGCTGGTTAATGGGTGTAAAACACAGAATGAACAATATTTGATAAGCACAACAAGTGACTATAATCAACAATAAGTTAGGGTAATGCTTTGGATACTAAAAGAGTGGAATTGAATGTTCCCACACAGAGAAATGATAAATGCCTGAGGTGTTGGGTACCCAATTATCCTGAACTGATAAATGAAAACATCACATGCCCATGTAAAGATATACAACTACAATGTAATACTATATTTAAAACATTTGTGCTATTTTAACTTATCTAGAGACATCAGGTTAGCTCATACCCTGTTGCACATGGCAGTGTCCCTGCTATTGATTGAGCAGTAAATCCAGCAACCAATTTAAAAGCATAAGTCTACATGGTGTTAGGTAATTTTACTTATCATTTTATTTATTTTTATATTTATTTATTTTTGAGACAAAGTCTCACTCTGTTGCCCAGGCTAGAGTGCTGTGGTGTCAGCTTAGATCACAGCAACCTCAAACCCCTGGCTCAAGCAATCCTTCTGTCCAGCTCTCCTGAGTACAGGGAGTCCATAACGGGACTACAGGCATGTGCCACCATACCTGGCTAATTTTTTTTTTTTTTTTTGAGACAGAGTCTCGTTGTTGCCCAGGCTAGAGTGAGATGCCGTGGCGTCAGCCTAGCTCACAGCAACCTCAAACTCCTGGGTCAAGCAATCCTTCTGCCTCAGCCTCCCGAGTACTGGGACTACAGCATGCGCCACCATGCCCGGCTAATTTTTATATATTATATATATATAGGTCTCGTTCTTGCTCAGGCTGGTCTTGAACTCCTGAGCTCAAACGATTTGCCCGCCTCAACCTCCCAAGGTGCTAGGATTATAGGCGTGAGCCACCTCGCCCCACCTACTTATCATTTTAAATATGTTGAAAAAATAAGTTCTGGCCAGGCACGGTGGCTCACACCTGTAATCCTAGCACTCTGGGAGGCCCAGGCAGGCAGACTGCTCAAGGTCAGGAGTTCGAAACCAGCCTGAACAAGAGCGAGACCCCGTCTCTACTATAAATAGAAAGAAATTAATTGGTCAACTAATATATATAGAAAAAATTAGCCAGGCATGGTGGTCCATGCCTGTAGTCCCAGCTACTGGGGAGGCTGAAGCAGCAGGATTGCTTGAGCCCAGGAGTTTGAGGTTGTTGTGAGCTAGGCTGACACCACAGCACTCACTCTAGCCTGAGCAACATGACACCACGGCACTAACTCTAGCCTGAGCAACAAAGTGAGACTCTGTCTCAAAAAAAATAAGTCCAATATAAGGGAAATAAACTATGTTCTGTACCTTATCTTTGAATAATAGTTTTTTAGTAAATGAGCATAAGAAAATTCTAGACCATATTTTACTCTTCATAGGGAAAAAAACCAAATCTTTGCATAATTGCTGTGAACATCTGACAAGCTAAGCAGGAAGTGGGTTTGTAGGAAAGCACACATTTGCAAAGAAGATGCTAATCTCCATAGGTATTTGCATCCCAAGGCACCCACAAAGCACAAAGCCTCCCTGTTGGTGGTATCTGTTTCCTGGCTGGTCTGGTTAGCCCTACAAGCCACCCTGATGCCTGGCAGGAGTGGCATGGATGGCACAGGACTGCACCCTGGCTGGCCCAACCCCAGCTCATATGGGCAGGGAGTGCAGCTCAGGGGTGAAGAGCCCCACTATCCAGCTGTGTGACTTGGGGGAAATGAACAGATCTCACTCTCTTCACCTGCAAAATGGGTGCTGTGCGGACTGCATGATATGAAACAGGCCAAGCTCCTGGCAGAGTCTGCGCACCAAACCCTCCGGAAATGGGAGTGATGGCTACCACACGGTTGGGCTGTTTCTGTAGAGCGGACTTATCTCATGTCAGCAGCAAAATCCCCTTCCAAACAAGTTACTAAACAAAATATTAAGTTCCTACCCAGAAACTGTTAAATGGGCCGGGTGTGGTGGCTCACACCTGTAATCCTAGCACTCTGGGAGGCCCAGGCTAGGAGGCTGAGGAGGGTGGATTGCTTGAGGTCAGGAGGTCGACACCAGCCTGAGCAAGAGCGAGACCCCCGTCTCTACTATAAATAGAAAGAAATTAATTGGTCAACTAATATATAGAGAAAAAATCAGCCAGGCATGGTGACGCATGCCTGTAGTCTCAGCTACTTGGGAGGCTGAGGCAGAAGGATTCTTAAGCTCAGGAGTTTGAGGTTGCTGTGAGCTAGGCTGACGCCACGGTACTCACTCTAGCCCAGGCAACAGAGTGAGACCGTCTCAAAACCAAACAAACAGTGGGGAGGGGGAGAAATGGGCATTTATTGAAACCTTAAAATCTGTACCCCCATAAAATGCCGAAAAAAACCCAAAAAACAAAAACCCAACCAAACAAAAAACCATCTTGAGCATAGTGGGCTGCGTATTGAATATCTGGCCTCTAACCCCCCTAATACTTGTGTTTTTTTTGAGACAGAGTCTCACTCTGTTGCCCAGGCTAGAGTGCTGTGACATCAGCCTAGCTCACAACAACCTCAAACTCCTGGGCTCAAGCGATCCTCCTGCCTTAGCCTCCCAGAGTGCTTGGATTATACGCATGAGCCACCATGCTTGGCCTCCATAATACTTGAAAGTCTAATCACTGTCCTATTTCTTGTTTCTTTAGTCAGTCTGAGAGGAAGATAGGGATTTCAGGAGTCACAGATGATGTTAAAATGTATTTTGAACAAAAGCTGCAAGTAAGCCAGAAACTATGAAAAAGAAAAAAAGAGCTGGGTGTGGGGCCAGGCTTTGCCACTTGTGGTCATTTGAATTCGGGCAAATCACAGTTTTTCTGGCCCCAGGTTCCTGCTGGGAGGTGGGGATGAGGCGCCCTGTCCTCCTTCTCAGGGTACTTGAGGCTGTGGGTAGTGTTAGCCACCCGTGTGGCCCCATGCATGCTACCTTCATCTGCCTCCCCGCAGCCCTGGGAGCCCCTGGAGGCAGAGCAGCTCAGAAAACAGAAGAATGAGGTCAGAGCCAGGCAGTGACCTCTGCTCGGAGTCTGTCCCTCACCCCCCAGGGCCAGAGCTGCTGCTGCAGGTGGCACAGTGATGCCCTTGTGGGATCGTCACTGCTCCAAGTTGACTGTGTGCTGCAGCCATTATCTCAGGGGCCTCAACTACTGGCTGCTTTGTCCTCCATTCCCTCCCCTAACCCCCAGAGAAGGTCTGGCCAGAAAGATGTCTCTGAAAATGAAGGCATCTTGAGTAATGGTGCTCAGCCCTCAGCAAACTCTTCTGGCCAGTCCCCTCCATTGAACGTGGAGCCAGACGTTCACAGGCAGCTGAAGAGGCAGGAAGCAGGTGTGCAGCCACAAGGGGGGCTCCTCAGGGTGGGTGCAGAGCCCCTCTTGTGCTGAGTCCCTGCACAAAGGCTGCATGGCTTCCAGCCGACCCCCTGCCCCAACACCTCTGGCCCAGGCGGGGCCTCCCCAGCTTTCCTCTCCAGAGTAACAGCAAGAGGTGAGACACAAAAGAGCAAGCCAAGCCACGTGTTACCCCCTCATCACCACTTCCTAGCAGTGTGGGACACCAAACAAAGGTTACTCACGGCTAAGAAACGGGATGCCTCCAAAAACGAGGTCACTGGAGTTCCAGCGAGAGGCACCAAAATGCCACCTGTAGACTTTGTGGCCCATCAGCCTATTCTGGAGGAGCCTGAGAAACAATCCCAATACTGAAGGACGACTACCAGTGTTCAATGTGGTCTCATCAAAACCATCCGTCCTGCCATCCTCTTGTTGACTCCAGGTATTGGGATGTTACTCAAGGTTGACGATTTGACAGGCAAAAGACTGGTATCTCATGGTTTTAATTTGTATTTTTAATTAGGGAGCTTGACCATTTTCCAAATAGTCGTAGGCCATTTATATTTCTTCTTCTGAGACTGGCCTGTTCACATCCTTTGTTCACTTGTCTACTGGGCCGACTCTTCCTTAATAATTCATAGGTACCCTGTATATTATGGATATCAATCCTTTGTAATATACTTTCTATTTTCTCTGTCATTTGTCTTTTAGTTGATGTTGTCTTATACAAAAAGTTTTACAGTTTCACAAGGTCCCACATGTGTCTTTCCTTTGGCTCCGGAGTTTCTTGTTATGCTCAGAATTTCTTTCTTTCACCAAGATGATTCAGCTGCTGCCTCAGACATTCTGAGAAACAACGGCTACGACACTTGCAGTGGCAGCAAAACATGCTTATTCAAAAGAAAATGTTTATTTTTAAAAATAAGAACTATTACCCCCAAGCATTTATTTAAATATTAATAGATACGAGTAAAAATTTCAAATGGCATTACAAGAATAACAGCTTTGTGTTCACAGATGGTCGGATGCTGACAAACAAGAAAGAAGATCTATGCACGTTGAGATTTGGTTGTTATGAGAATGCATATGAAGGCTTAAGAAACGGTCTATTTATAGGCTTTGGTGGAGCCATAATCCCCAATTTTCTACTGGTTCCTGATGTTGCTTGCGAACCATGCACGGCTGAACCGGATCCAATTATGCTGGACGATTTAGTTTTGGGAGATACTTTTCTGTATGTGGTGGATCCCCTAGAGATGTGACAAAGAAAAGAATGTTAAAATATTAAATAAAAACGAAAGTGAATGACTTTCTCTCAACTTGCATGGAAGTAAAATCCATGATCTTCCTTGGTCTCATGTGTCTTTGTGTATTTTCTACCTATATACCCCTGGGCGAGGTAAGTTTCCTTTACGACTCAAGGAATAAAAGACTGCTGCTCTTCACACAGATTTGTCCTGAATTTGTCTTTCTAAAATGTCAAGGATTATTTCTAATCCTATGACTTGTGACCAATCCACCGCTTCTCTTTCCACCCACATCTTCCAAAGCCTACAGCCAGAGCCTCTCCCTGAAGACAAGGGAACTGAGATCCACACACCCCAGTCTATTCTAACCAAATAAAGGAAGTGAAAACACTTTGCTGTAAGCCCCAAATCCCCGGCTGGCAGACACCTTGGAATTACTGGACTTGTGCAGTCTAGAGCAAGGCAGCTTTGGGAGTAAGCAGAGGTGGGGCAGAGCCCAGTCTCTTCCTGGCCAGCCCCAGGACCAGGAGGCGGCAGATGTGGCTCCCTGGGGAGGGCCCGCATTGCCTCATCCACTGGCCAGCGCACCTCTCCACCAGGCCGGCTCACCGCCCACACCCGAGCATCTGCCAGCTCTCCCCTCCCACTCACTGCCTTTTAAAGCCAGGGAAGAAGCCCCTGCCATAATATTATGAAGTCCTTCCAGCATCTCACTTTCCTTGCAGACCTGAAGATAACAGCTCCCCTCCCATCCCCAGATGAAACAAAAAACAAACAAGAAAGCCACAGGCCAGCATGTTTACAGTGATGATGCAGGCAAGTCCCCTACAGAAGCCTTTCCTGCTGCTTTATAACCAGGTCCAATATCAGTTCCATACCACCAGGGCATGCAAGTAGCCTCCTGGGGTCCAGGGTATCTTGGCTACAGCCTGTGAGTAATGACATTCTGGTGGGGCTGGGTGACAAGTGGTTTTTCAACATTTTTTAAACTGTGGCTCCAGGGCAATTTTACTGCAGAACTGGCAAAGAACTGGCAAAGATCTGCTAACCCGGCAGAGACTCAGCCTGAAGTTTCCCTATGATGATTTCTAGCTGAGAAATTAAGCCCCGAGCAAAAACCTGCTGTTTATGTTGATTTACAGAATGAATCTGCCAACAGCAGCCTCCTTTTCACCTGGGCCATCCATTTACTCCTACTCAGAGAGGCCAGAACACAACTGGTTCATTGTGTGTTGTTCTGAGGATAGGAGAGCAGAGAGGTGAGCTCTGGCAAAAAGCCACATTTATTCTTTCACTGCACCAGGACTCTCAACCAGAGGAACAGGCTGGGTTGTGGAAATAAGGAGGATGGCCCACACATACAAGGGGCTGCTGTGAGGGCAAAACAAAGTTACACAACGTACTGGCTTCAGCCAGTGGGAGCTAAAAAAGAATCTCATCCTAAACACACAGGCTAACTGAAAACTACCATTGAAATTGGTACTGGCTTCTGGACAAGTGTCAATCTTACTATTTCCTATTAGATTAGGTTCTAGGTGATACAGCAAAGTGCTTTACTCTTATAAAACTAAAGCGTGAAAATTAAATAAGGGAGCCAACAGCAGTGAACATTAAAATACAGTTTACTTTGTTTTAAGAAGTAAAAATGAGAGGCGATCATGCACGTTCTTGAGCAATCTCCACAGACGACGTGTGGAAATGAAAATGCTCTGGGTAGGTGTGGGCAGGCCAGTGTCCAGTTCCACCTCTGAAACTAAGACCAGGCTGGGACAGCCTCAGACAAGCCCTATGCAGGCCAGGCCTCAGCTTCCTCCCTCCTCACAAACCGGAGAAGTTGGACCAGATGCCTTTTAAGGTCTCCTGCTCTGTGTGAATTATTGAGGAAATGAGTAGTTCCCAAAGCAGAGGAATAAATGAAGAAAATAAGAAAATGTCCTCACTGAAGAACATCTACCCATCACTTACGCACTAAAAAAACCCACAAAATTAAACTAACATTTACTAATGCCTTTAATTTCTGTACTCTGGCAGAAGGATTAGCACATACAAGATGTTTGTTTATAGACCTAACAAGAAAATGACAATTTGGTAATGTTTGTCTTCCTTTCTCTTCCCCCACTCATTTTTTTTTTTTTTTTTTTTTATTACCCAGAAGGAAAAGAGGTAGAAAACCTGCAAAAAACACAACAGCTTGCAAAAGTTGACTATGGACTTGTTTCCTTTTTCCATTAGCAATTCTGGTACAATATGCAATTACTTTGGGCCATATTTTCAAGATTGATGGGATGGTCACCTTCCTGCCAGGCCTTACATACCAGGAAGAAGGCAGAGGGTGCCATGGCAGGAGACAAAAAAGGAGGGGGGATGCCACTGTCAAAAACAATGCAATTATGAAGAAATAAGAACACTGCCAAGATCATTGCACAGATAAGATGATGCTATCTTTGTTCTTCCCTTGGCATGCAGAGCCCACCCCAGACAGACATGCCCCAGCCCAGAGGGCCCAGCAAATGTGGGAAAGGGAAGACAGAAGCCATTTATGCAGTTCCTAAAGAGGCCTGGCTTGACCGACCTTTTGGTTTTTCTGTTGTGATTTCTCTGTTTCCCTTGCAAAGGCTGGGAGGCTGATTCTCCCAGGCATTACTTAAGCAGGGAGTGTGCATGTGCCTCAAGGTGGAGGCTCACAGAATTCTGCAGCTATAAAAGCAGTGTAGCAAGTACTGACAGAATCACAAAAGCCACGAGGACATGAAACCCTATGTTATTTATTGCACTAGTGTATGATTTACAGTATTTTAGGTGGAAAAGTCTCTTAAGAAGAGCAATTATCCAAAACAAACAAGTTTCTAAGGTAAGGTAAAAATTGCAGGAGTTTTTGCAAACCAGAAAACTTTATTCATAATCAACTTAGTGAAAAGTAGATATTTTCTTTTTTTAGAGACAGTGTCTCGATCTGTTTCCCAAAATGGAGTGGAAGTGGCATGATCATAGCTTATTGCAGCCTTGAACTCCTGGGCTCAAGGAATCCTCCTGTCTCAGCCTCCTAAGTAGCAGAGCCAACAGGCATGCACCACCATACCTGGCTGATGTTTTTAACAGAGTTTTTGTAGAGATGGGGGTCTTTCTATGTTGCCCAGGCTGGTCTTGAACTCCTGGCCTTAAGTAATCCTCCCACCTCAGCCTCCCAAAGGAGTAGATATTTTAAAAATCTGATGCAAACGTTTTTGTTTTGGATCAAACCTTAATCATCACTCCATTAACTGGAGAGGCAATATTTAATAATGGTTTATTTTAATAAGTGCTTCAAAGCAAACCAGAGCTGTTATACTTTTGTCCTTTTCTCCTTTGTACCCTACATTGCAAAAGATGTTACAGAACATACCCCTTCATCTTGGAACCACTATATGCAGTTTTTCTCCTCTTAGGTCTGTGGGAGGCTGGCATACTTTTCCTCTTTCTTCCATTTCTGGTCTTATTTGCAAAGTAGTGAGAAGATATGGGTGTTTCCTCATCGAGCTCTTCCTGGGTATTTCTTCTGGTGCCTCTGTTGCTGGACACGCTCATCCCTGGGGAACTGTCCTCAGCTACAAATGGAAAATGCAGATGTTTGCTGGCGATACCAAGCTGGGCCAAGTGTTTTCAGCCTATACGAAGATACACACCACAGGGGCCTAGGTCAGCAGATACCTGGCTGCTTTCCTGGTGCCTTCCTGCCATATGAATTGAACAATTCAGCCAGGACCAAACATTTCTTTTTTATTTCACAAAGCCCCAAAGTGCTCAATGGCAATTCATGTTCAACACAAAGGAATCAAAATTCACTTAAAAAATTTGTGATAGTCTGCTGGGAAGGGTAGCAGAGAGGGTGGCAGAAAGTGGGGCTGGTTAATGGGTGTAAAAACACAGAATGAACAATATTTGATAGCACAACAAAGTGACTATATTCAACAATAAGTTAGGGTATGCTTTGAGATAACTAAAAGAGTGGAATTGGAATGTTCCCAACACAGAGAAATGATAAATGCCTGAGGTGTTGGGTACCCCAATTATCCTGAACTGATAAATGAAAACATCACATGCACCATGTAAAGATATACAACTACAATGTATACATAATAATTTAAAACATTTGTGCTAGTCTTTAACTTATCTAGAGACATCAGGTTTAGCTCATACCCTGTTGCACATGGCCAGTGTCCCTGCTATTGATTGAGCAGTAAATCCCAGCAACCAATTTAAAAAGCATAAAGTGCTACATAGGTGTTAGGTAATTTTACTTATCATTTTATTTTATTTTATATTTATTTTATTTTTTGAGACAAAGTCTCACTCTGTTGCCCAGGCTAGAGTGCTGTGGTGTCAGCTTAGCTCACAGCAACCTCAAACCCCTGGGCTCAAGCAATCCTTCTGTCTCAGTCTCCTGAGTACAGGGAGTCCCATAACTGGGACTACAGGCATGTGCCACCATACCTGGCTAATTTTTTTTTTTTTTTTTGAGACAGGAGTCTCGCTGTGTCCCTGGCTAGAGTGGTGCCGTGGGGTCAGCCTTGCACAGCAAACTCAAACTCCTGCTCAAGCAATCCTTCTGCCTCAGCCTCCCGAGTAGCTTGGGACTACAGCATGCGCCACCCGCCGGCTATTTTTATATTATATATATATGGTTGCAATTTAATTCTTCTTTCTAGTAGGACGGGTCTTGTCCTTGTTCAGGCTGGTTTCGAACTCCTGACCTCGAGCAATCACCCGCCTTCAGCCTCCCAGAGTTTACAGGCATGAGCCACTGCACCAGGCTTAATTTTTTTTTTTTTTTTAGACAGAGTCTGATGCTGTTGCTCGGGCTAGAGTGCCATGGCTAATTTTTTCTATGTATTTTTAGTTGGCCAGTTAATTTCTTTCTATTTTTAGTAGAGATGGGGTCTCGTTCTTGCTCAGGCTGGTCTTGAACTCCTGAGCTCAACGAATTGCCCGCCTCAACCTCCCAAGGTGCTAGATTATAGGCGTGTGGCCACCTCGCCCCACCTCTTATCATTTTAAATATGTTGAAAAATAAGAGTTCCAGCCAGCACGGTGGCTCACACCTGTAATCCTAGCACTCTGGAGGCCCAGGCAGCGCACTGCTCAAGGTCAGAGTTCGAAACCAGCCTGACAAGAGGAGACCCCGTCTCTACTATAATAGAAAGAAATTAATTGGTCAACTAATATATAAGAAAAATTAGCCAGGCATGGTGTCCATGCCTGTAGTCCCAGCTACTGGGGAGGCTGAAGCAGCAGGATTGCTTGAGCCCAGGAGTTTGGTTGTTGTGAGCTAGGCTGACCACAGCACTCACTCTAGCCTGAGCAACATGACACCACGGCACTAACTCTCAGGCTGAGCAACAAAGTGAGACTCTGTCTCAAAAAAATAAGTCCATATAAGGAAATAAACTATGTTCTGTACCTTATCTTTGAATAATATTTTAGTAAATGAGCATAGAAAATTCTAGACCATATTTTACTTTCTCTAGGGAAAAAACCAAATCTTTGCATAATTGCTGTGAACATCTGAGCAGCTAAGCAGGAAGTGGTTTGTAGAAAGCACACATTTGCAAAGAAGATGCACGTCTCCAGGTATTTGCATCCAAGGCACCACCAAAGCACCAAGCCTCCCTGTTGGTGGTATCTGTTTCCTGGCTGGTCTGGTAGCTACCAAGCCACCCTGATGCCTGGCAGGAGTGGCCTGGATGGCACAGGACTGCACCCTGGCTGGCCCACCCAGCTCATATGGGCAGGAGTGCAGCTCAGGGGTGAGAGCCCCACTTCCAGCGTGTGACTTGGGAAATGAACAGATCTCACTCTCTTCACCTGCAAAATGGGTGCTGGCGGATCGCATGTATGAACAGGCCAAGCTCCTGCGTGTGCTGCGCACCAAACCCGGAAATGGAGTGATGGCTACCCACGGTTGGGCTGTTCTTGTGAGCGGACTTATCTCATGTCAGCAGCAAAAAATCCCCTTCCAAACAAAGTTACTAACAAAATATTAAGTTCCTACCAGAAACTGTTAATGGCCGGGTGTGGGGCTCCACACTGTAACCTAGCCCTCTGGGAGGCCAGGCTAGGAGGCTGAGGAGGTGATTGACTCGAGGTCAGGAGTCGAAACCGGCCTGAGCAAGAGCGAGACCCCGTCTCTACTATAAATAGAAAGAAATTAATTGGTCAACTAATATATAGAGAAAAAATCAGCCAGGCATCGTGACGCATGCTGTAGTCTCAGCTACTTGGGAGGCTGAGGCAGAAAGGATTCTTGAGCCAGAGTTTGAGGTTGCTGTGAGCTAGGCTGACGCCACGGACTCACTCTAGCCTGGGGCAACAAGTGAGACTCTGTCTCAAAAAAAAAAAAACCACCTGTTAAATGTATTCATAGCAAGACTTTTAACGGAATCATTACCATATAGAAGAATTTATAAAACCCCACTTTCAGGCATTTTGTTAATGGGGGAAAAACAGCTGTGAGAGAAAGAACTTGAAATACACGTTCACTTATTTCTTACCCTGCTCACCACTTCCATTCGCTTTGAGAAGAAACCCCTACCCCGTCCTGTTATAGAGACAGGAAGAACATTGAACTTCGCTAGTCTATTGTGTTTTACTGCACGGTACTATTGTTAGCAGAGGGCAGAAGACTTCTGCACTCTGAGTATCTCCTACAACAAAATATTTCTTTGTTCTCAATTTTCCCTCAGCCCATGACTTCCGCACCGTTAGTAACAATGAGGCTCGTTATTAGAGGTACCGCAAGACAGGCCTAATGTGGCCTCTGGAAATGTCTGATAATGATGCACCCACTTGGGCAGGTTCTTTCAATGACTAATAACAATAGCATTCCAGTTACATGTTCTTTTCAAAACATTTAAACCTCTACTCTTAAATTTTATCTTTAAACATGCTTGTCAGATAACACGTTCCTTCCTCAGCTAAGAAAACTGAAGTACAAAGAGATTATTGGTGGCCTGCCAAGGCTCACACAGACTGAGATGGCGGCAGATCTGGGATTGGCACCCGGGCTCTGATTCCTCAGGAACTTGCATTATTAGAGCCAGCAAACCCTTGGCCCAAAGGTCCCCCTTCGGATCCTATCAGTAGGCTCAATAACTGGCATGCCCCAGGGCTCCAAGCACTAGTGTTCTCTCTGAGGCGCCTGGCACACCACAGGAGGCTGTTCTGAGGACTTGGACTTCAGTGTGACAAGGTATCAGAAGCATTAACACAACCTGGAAAGCACACCATTCTAATCCAGTGAGATGCATTGCTTAACATTAACACAGGCTCTTAGAGAACACACATGTGTCTGTATACTGACCTCGCACTGTCCACTCAGAGTATTTCTGTAATACTGCAATCACTTCTGCACCATATTTTTCCAGTTTGTCTTCAGTAACACCATCAATTTGAAGCAAAACCTCAGGATCGGAAGATAAAGACTCTGTGCGTAGGCATAAAATTAGGAATTTAAATTACCACCCATAGAAAACCCACTAAATTCATACTCATTCAGCACATGTCTGTTAAGTGCCAACTGCAGAGCACTGGGCACATGGGCCAATTTTCTAAAAGGCAAAGTTAGCACCTCAGAAGTGGCAGATGGGCCCAGAGGGCAGGGGCTCATCACTCAATTCTAGCAGCAAAGGCACACAAGCCAGGGCAGAGAGCGGGAGACAACCACGGCCTGGGGGAAGCCAGAGGCCAGGACCTTTGCAAAGTGCTCAGAGTGTAAGCGGGTCCCACTCTTGCCCACTGTTCCCACTAGCAAGACTTGCCTAGCTGTAAGACTGATGTGCCCGCTTTGCTGAGAACACGGGCATTTCTATTTCCAGTGCCGACCGTTTCCTTGCACTCCAGACTTGTACACCCCACCCAAGAAAGCATAACCAAATTGTTACTTCCTCCAGCCCCAACTTTTTTTCCTCCAGTCTTTCCCCATGTGGGATGAACAAGCAGGTAGCTCAGAGTCCTCTGCATAGAGATGGTACATTTTGTAGCTAGACAAGCCTGTCATTTAAAGATCCCTCTGGCCACTCTATGAAAAATGGATCGTATGGGAAAGAGTGGAAACTGGGAGCCTTGTGGAAGCCATTGCAGGAGCATGAGAGGATGGAGTGAACTAGAATGTAGGAGTAGGGAAGACAGATTTGGGTAGGTTTTGGATAATGGGTCTATAGGACTTACGGATGCACTGGCTATAGGGAGTGAGGGAATAATCATGCCTATGCACTTGACTTGAGCAAAGGGTGGATTTCAAATCCTTTCCAATCTGTGATTTTCACAGCCTTCCCATGTTTAGAGGAAAAGCAACAGACTGTGGGACAGAACAGAAGGTTTATGAAAGGGATTAGTAGAAGATAAAGTGGGAGAGGCAAGAAGAAATCTAGACCCTTGATAGAATTTGTGGTTTGTCTCAACGCTTTGTGTGGAAACTTGAAAAACAAAAAACAAACAAAAAAAAAACTTGTACTTTATCTGAGAGCTATTGTAGTTTTAGTAGTTTTTGAAACACTAAAGTGTACATCAGGCTGGATGCTGAGGCACTCGCCTGTAATCCCAGCACCTTGGGAGGCCAAGGTGGGACGACAGTTTGAAGCCAGGAGTTTGAAACCAGCCTGAGCAACATAGCAAGACACTGTCTCTAAAAAAGAAAGCAAGCTGGATGTGGGCATGCTGGTGCACTCCTGTAGTCCTGGCTACTCAGGAGGCTGAGATGGGATGATTGCTTGAGACAGGAGTTCGAGGTTACAGTGACCTATGATTATGCCACTGTACTTGAGCCTAGGTGACAGAGCAAGAGACTACCCTGTCTCTAACAAAAAAAAAAAAAAAATAAGGTTAGGTGCCATGGCTTATGCCCATAAATCCCAGCACCATGGGAGACCAAGATGGGAGGGTCATTTGATACCAGGAATTCGAGACCAGCCTGGGCAACACAGTGAGGTGACACTATCTCTATAAAAAAAAAGTACATCATGATCACAACTGGAGGTAAGGAGACCAGTTAGGAAACTATACTAATAGCCTAGAAATAAAATACTGTATTTCATTGATTCTAAGACATACACATTTTCACATTTTACCATTCTTGACATTAAGATCTATCTTATAATTGCTTGTCGCCAAAGGCAGCTGCCCTGTGGTTGTTACTGCCTGTGCACGTGAGAACTTAGTCACAGCTATCGGTACTGTTAGCATGTCAACAAAATCACTGTAGGCCAGGCACAGTGGCTCACCCCTGTAATCCTACCACTCTGGGAGGCTGAGGCGGGAGGATCGCTCAAGGTCAGGAGTTCGAAACCAGTCTGAGCAAGAGTAAGACCCTGTCTCTACTAAAAATAGAAAGAAATTAATTGGCCAACTAAAAGTATATAGAAAAAAATTGGCAGGGCATGGTGGCGCATGCCTGTAGTCCCAGCTACTCTGGAGGCTGAGGCAGTAGGATTGCTTAAGCCCAGGAGTTTGAGGTGGCTGTGAGCTAGGCTGATACCATGGCACTCTAGCCTGGGCAACAGAGTGAGACTCTGTCTCAAAATAAATAAATAAAATAAAATAAAACAAAGTCATTGTCTTCAAAAGGACTATACTGTGATTAGCATGAAAAAAGTGACTGTGAATGCAGAAAAGCTCTGAAACAGAGTAATGGGAAATAGATTTGGCATTAAGAAAGGACGATCTGTCTTTGAGGGAATGACCACAATTCCATAGTTTCTTGCAAACAACAACCAAGTCCTTTACATGGCCTAGAAAAGAAGATGACCAAAGCAGATGAAGCAGTACATTTGTGTTACCGAGAGACGTGCAACCTCCTATTGACACTTTCTGGTATCATCAAGAAAGCACCCTCACCAAATCAGAACTGATGACAGGGGTTTCAATTAATATCCTGGGAAAAATAGTGGAACACTCTAAAAATGCTGTATGACTAATGAAAATATTACTGATAACATCAGGAAATACAAAGACAACTGAGTCAAAAAATGATTCAGAAGTCAGGCTTTGAATGTGAACTTTTACAAGTATCTAAATTTACTTTTATTATATGTATTTTTCATATATGCAGAGTTCTATATGATAGAGCAAGACTGTCTCAAAAAATATATATGATATAAATCTGTGTTTAAATAAGTCAAAAACAATTCTTTCAATAAAAGCACTGTGTCATAGTTAACAGAATGTCTTCTTTTTTAATAGTCTGTAAAATGTCAACATCTTAAAATAGATGGCATCTTAGAGTCAATGAAATATTATAATGACCTATCGTGGCAGGAGTGAGAATTGGAAAGAGAGAAGGTGATGATTATGAGATTTTATGAGGCCGGGTGTGATGGCTCATGCCTGTAATCCTAGCTCTCTGGGAGGCCAAGGCGGGTGGATTACTCAAGGTCAGGAGTTCAAAACCAGCCTGATTCGACAGTACGATCAAAGTCGAAGAAAAAAAAAAACCAGCCTGAGCAAGAACAAATAGAAAGAAATTAATTGGCCAACTAAAAATATACAGAAAAAATTAGCCGGGCATGGTGGTGCATGCCTTTAGCCCCAGCTACTCGGGAGGCTGAGGCAGAAGGATTGCTTGAGCCCAGGAGTCTGAGGTTGCTGTGAGCTAGGCTGATGCCACAGCACTCTAGCCTGAGCAATGGAGCAAGACTCAGTCTCAAAAAAAAAAAAAAAAAAAAAAAAAGATAAATTAAAAAAAAAAAAGATTTTATGAAAGAAGAACAGGGAACGTAATGTACACAAGTCAGTCAACTATGTGGTTAACTTATTTTCCAGGGACTCTAGTAACGAAATTCTGGGTTGAGTTATCTGTCCATGGAAATAACTCAAGATCAGCAAGTATTTATTAACTAAAGACATAGCAGTACGCTGGATCTGGATTCAAAGAAGCATGAAAAAACTCTTTTAATAAGAAACTGAGCTCTTCATTGCAAAGACATCTGTACATAACATAGCTAAATACTATAAGGCAGGCAAATAATCAGCAAAAACAATTAAGTGACATCTGGTTTTAGAGATTATGATTAGCCATATTCTAATATCCAGCTTTAGAGAAAAGTATAAAATTAAAATTATACCATAAATCTGAATAACAAAGTATTATATATCTTAAAGAATTATATTTTATCTCAAGAATGAGTTTAAATTGTTTCTCTGAGCTTTTAATCCAGAGATCAAATAAAAATAACAAAATGACTGAGATATATTTATCACTTAAAAGTTCCTGAGCAAGATGAACTTTTGGCCTATTAATTTGGGCCATGTCACAAGATGCACACCTACTTACCTGCAAGCTTCTTGAGAGTGACAGTATTGAAAATATTGAAGTAATGGACACCAAAAACTTTCCCCAGAGACTTGCAGACTTCTGTAAGTTCTCCAAGACATTTCTTAACCATCTCTTCCCTCTGAGATACTTTTGCTACTAAAGCTTTTTGTTTCTTCACATTGCTAGAATTTTCTGTTTCCATAAAGTCTACCTTTGTGAGAGAGAAATAAATCATAGAGTGGGTATATGCACACTTGTACCCACGTAGGAGTTTATTCAATGCTTAATTTTGGTATTTCTGTTCTGCTAAGTAGATAGTGAACCCCTTGGGAACAGGGGCTGTGCACTCTCTACCTTTATATATCCAGTGTCTAGCACAGACAAGCCTCTTGATAAATGTTTTTTTTAATGAATATATGAAGATTTAGCAACCTGATAAGCCATTAAATTCATTTTGACAGGTATCATATTAATTGGGCTGAATTTTAAGATGTCTTTCCAAATTAAGAAGAAAAGAATATGTTCACATAGGACAGTATATATAAATTCAGTATCTGTACGCTTTGGAAAAGACACTATACTTTGCAGTAATATGTTTTGATCCACTCATTGTAAGATAATAAAATAAACATTTAAAATACCATACCTTTAAATGCCCATTTAGTACAGTTTGGGCTTTATCTCCAAGCATTACATAAGCAATTGCTTGGTCATTGGCATTGATATATAAGTCTTCATCCAAAATCTTGTCAAGTATCAGCTTTTTAAAAAGTCTTTCCGCATTGTGTCGTGAATAAGCAGATCCCTTTCCAAATATACCCGACTGAATTTTTGCACTCTTGCTCCCTGATAAGAAGGTACAAGAAGATGAGTAAATGTAGGTGTAATATCACACTCAAATAGAAGAGGTTAAAGTCATTTATGGACATGTCTGGACAGATGGAATAGATCACCTACCGGACAGGAAAATGTATGCCATAAACAGATACTCATTTCTGTAACAAGAGAATATCTGAGTAAAATTCTAAAATTTTTTATGATTGTATGTTCTTTTCTTCATCCTTTTATAACATATGCTGACCAAAAACAGCAACAAAATTATCTTTTTTTTTTTTTTGAGACACTCCTGTAATCAAGTGATCCTCCTGCCTCAGCCTCCTGAGTAGCTGGGACCACAGATGCATGCCACCACGCCTGGCTAATTTTGTTATTTTTAGTAGAGAGGATGTGTTGCTTTCGCTCAGGCTGGTCTCGAACTCCTGACCTCAAGTGATTCTCCCACTTCAGCCTCCAAGAGTGCTAGGATTACAGGCCTGAGCCACCATGCCTGGCCAGTTTATAATTTTAAAATGTTGCATTTATATCTTATAAAATTACATTAGAGCAAAGAAATCAAAGAAAGTTTACATAAACTATAATAACTTCATACTACTGTGCTATGTATTAGGATAACTGTACATTATATATCTAGTCACAAAACCTTTTTGACAATCAGTTTTATAAATACTATCTCTGGTCCTGATTATCAAAATTGCTACACTAGTTTATAATCTAGGTATTTAGTCTATACTCTTTGTTATCCTCACTAATCAAGCTTATACAAATTCCAAAACAAAAGCACAATACCCTACAAGATGCTCAAGGACAGGTGAAGACAGGAATATGTACGTACATTTTCTTCTTTCTCCTGCTAGCTGAGAGAGCCACAGTAGGCTGGATCCTGTTTCATATCCAAGCTGTTGCAATTACTAATGTCTTCATCATAAACACAATTTTATTATAACAATTTACTTCAGAAGCCTTGTGACATTTATGATAATCACAACTAGTGGTTATTATGTAAAGCTTTAGCTCTACTTTAGAGTTCCAAATAAATACATTATTATAAATTACAAATGGCTTCTGGCCATATATGCTAAATTATTCAAATTTTTCTTTAAGTGATTTGCATCCCTGAAAGGCCACACTGCAGAATCAGGACACTGCTCTCCTAGTGGTGGGCTCGGTGGTGTGGATGAATCCTACTGCTGAGAACAACTAAGAAAGCAGGATGATACATAAGCAATCTTTGAAAAAACATATAACAGCTAATGAGAAAGTGAAGAATGTGTCAGAAAACTGTTTGATCTAATAATCTTTCTAGGGATCTACATGAAAAGTAGAATCAAAGATGTGGTCAAAGGTTCATTTAAAAATCTATTATTGGGCGGTGGCTCACGCCTGTAATCCCAGCACTCTAAGAGGCCGAGGTGGGTGGATTGTTTGAGCTAAGGAGTTGGAGATCAGCCCGAGCAAGAGCCAGATCCCGTCTCTACTGAAAAAATAGAAAGAAATTAACTGGACAACTAAAAGTATATATATTAAAAAAATTAGCTGAGTATGGTGGCACATGCCTGTAGTCCCAGCTACTCAGGAGGCTGAAGCAGGAGGATCACTTGAGCCAGGAGTTTGAGGTTGCTGTGACGTAGGCTGACGACACGGCACTCTAGCCTGGGTAACAGTGAGACTGTCTCAAAAAAAAAGAAAAAAAAAAAAAAAAGGCTATTATTTGTCACAGCAGTATTTATAATAGAAAAATATGTCCTAAAACTATTTAAATACATTTATTTCATCAATCTGATAAAGCATATATTAAAAATTATGCTAAAAAGAATTAAAAATTAAGAATATGCTTGTATCTTGCTATATAAAAATATATATACAATATGATAAACATGTGATTGTGAGGAAACACATTAAAATATTAGTAGTCTTTCCTGGAGTTATCTGTATTTTTCAGTTTTCTTTTTTCTATCTACCTACCTACCTATCTATCTGAGATAGGGCCTCACTGTCACCCAGGCTGGAGTGCAGTGGGGTGATCATAGCTCACTGCAGCCTCCAACTGCTAGGATCACATGATCCTCCTGCCTCAGCCTTCTGAGTTCCTGGGACTACAGGTGTGCACCACCACACCTGGCTAATTTTTTCCTATTTTTAGTTGTCCAACTATTTTTTTTTCTATTTTTAGTAGAGATGGGGTCTCTTGCTCAGGCCAGTCTTGAATTCCTGAGCTCCAGTGATCTTCCTGCCTCAAATTACTTTACATATTTTTTTGTTTTGTTTTTTTCTTATTTTATTTTTTAACTTCATTTTTAATTTGTAATACATATTTTTAATTAGAATAATATATGTACATGGGGAAAAAGAAAATATAGCATAGAAAGGCTTATAATTAAAAACAACATTCTGGCCGGGCGAGGTGGCTCACGCCTGTAATCCTAGCATTCTGGGAGGCTGAGGCGGCGGATTGCTCAAGGCCAGGAGGTGGAAACCAGCCTGAGCAAGAGCGAGACCCTGTCTCTACTATAAATAGAAAGAAATTAATTGGCCAACTAATATATATAGAAATAATTAGCCAGACATGGTGGCTCATGCCTGTAGTCCCAGCTACTCAAGAGGCTGAGGCAGCAGGATTGCTTGAGCCCAGGAGTTTGAGGTTGCTGTGAGCTAGCAACTCACTCTAGCCTGGGCAACAAAGGGAGACTCTGTCTCAAAAAAACAAACAAACAAACAAACAAAAAAAACATTCCTTTGCCCCACTCTTTGTCTCTGGAGTCTCACTCTCTTCCCCAGTGCAATCACTTTTTAAATAGTTTTTGTTTCTGGCTCTTGTGGTGGTTACCTTCACATAGAACTTGGAATCTCGTAGTCCTTCCACTAGCCTGACATTTACCTATTGCCCACCCACTATGAAAGATGAGGCTTTATCTCATTTATACCACCCCTTTACTTTACCCTCCCTCATATTTTGCTAGTTATATGATACTATTGGTTTATCTATCAATTATGTTTCTAACTCTAGATAAAAATTTGAACACTATCTCTCCTTATGAGGTTATTAGTACCCCAGCCTTCCCTGTACACCCCTTCTTTTATTTTTATTTACTGTACTTTTACATCAAGATTAATGTTTACATCTTATCCTGTTTTATAACCAAGCTTAAGGCTACATGTTGATCTGAATTGTTTATGTTAACCCAGAGAATGTTTACCGCATGCATGTCAAAGGGATTATTTTGTTTTGTACATTTGATCAATTACTCAAAGTCATGTTATATTGTAACTTCCTTTGTTTTATGTTTGACCTTGGTTCTCTTGTATAATCTTTACCCTGGAGTTTGTAAGTGCCTCTCTCCTTTTTTTTGTTGAGAAGTAATGTTTGCATTCTTCATTGAGATCAGTAAAACATCATTTCTTAATCCTTCTATATGTTGTTTGGGACCTATTCTTCTTAACTTTCTGCTACAATTTGCACTGCTTGCTTACTGGCCTTGCTGCGTAGCTGTGATTATGGGATTTTTTCTCACTGGACCCAGCAGTCAGTTCCACTGTTTGTTGTATCATTATGCGCAACTCACTTTCTTTGCCTTCTAGTCTCCAGGACTGCTGATATTAATCTGATGTCAGTCTGGTTTTGGTTCCTGTTTTTTCTTTTCAAAGCTTTCAACACTGTCTCTGAAGGGGTCCAGAATATGCCACTGTGGCATAAAAATTTTGAACAGAAGGCATTCGAGTTCCTTTAATCTTTTATCTGCCAAAAAGCAGAGCCTCCCAAAAGAACTCAGTTGTTACAAATTCCCTCCCAGGGGAAAAACTAGGGAAGGTTGACTTTTATAAGCAGAGATAAGTCTCCACAGCACACTTAAACAGACATTGTCATAAAAACTTTGTGTCTCCCATGGAGTCTCCTAAGGGCCCATTTATCTTTCCTAAAAGTCATTTGTTTTCCTATAAGTGCCCCTTTGCCCCTTCCTTTCCCCTATTAAGATGGTAAATAAAGCCCTAATTCTAACTGCTCCTTTGATTCACTTTTTGTGTGAACTCTTATCCATGACTAAATCTGCCTTTTCTCTTATTAATCTGTCTTTTGTCAGTTTAATTTGCAGGCCCCATCACAGAACCTAAAGGGATAGAAGAAAAGTTTTTCCTTTCTGACAAGACTTGACACTTAGTATTCTCAGATCTCATAGAACTATGTCTCTCTCTCTTTACAGGCATTTTATTTGGCATTCAGTGGACATTTTAAATCTAAAAGCTTTTATCTCTTCCACTCTGATAAATTTTCTTAGATCATTGGTTTGATAATTCCCTTTATTTGTTTATTTATTTATTTTTGAGACAGAGTCTCGCTTGTTGCCCAGGCTAGAGTGAGGGCCATGGTGTCAGCTAGCTCACAGCAACCTCAAACTCCTGGGTCAAGCAATCCTTCTGCCTCAGTCTCCTGAGTAGCTGGGACTACAGCATGTGCACCATGCCAGCTAATTATATATATATATATATGTTGACCAATTACTTTCTTTCTATTTATAGTAGAGATGGGGTCTTGCTCTTGCTCAGGCTGGTTTCGAACTCCTGACCTCGAGCAATCCTCCCGCCTTGTCCTCCCAGAGTGCTAGGATTACAGGAGTGAGCCACCGCGCCCGGCTGATAATTCCCTTTATTTTCTAACATTTGTTAGATTTTATATCTCCTAAGGACTAATTCTCTATGTTCTCTCATATTTTCCATATATCTCTTTGTTCAGTCTTAGAAGATTTTACTGACTCTATCTTCCAACCTTTCCACTACTTTACTTTGTCCATCATGCTAAATTTAACAGCTCTTTCTCATTCTTTCTTTTCTATAACATTCAATTATTATTTGAATCTTTACTTTAAAAGATCTTCATGAAGATACTAATTAGGAGTTTTCCCTCTTCTCTCCCCCAAACTCCTGCTTATTTTCCTAATCATTTCTATTGCTCAGGGTCAAATATTCCACTTATTGGGTCTCTCTCCCTTTTTTTTTTGAGACAGAATCTCACTGTGTTGTCCGGGCTAGAGTGTCGTGGTGTCAGTCTAGCTCACAGCACCCTCAAACTCCTGGGCTCCAGCAATCTTCCTGCCTCAGACTCCCTAGTAGCTGGGACTATAGGCATGCACCAACACATCTGGCTAATTTTTTTTTTTTTTGAGACTGAGTCTCGCTTTGTTGTCCAGGCTACAGTGAGTGCCACGGCGTCAGCCTAGCTCATAGCAACCTCAAACTCCTGGGCTCAAGCAATCCTTCTGCCTCAGCCTCCCAAGTAGCTGGGACTACAGGCATGCGCCACCATGCCCGGCTGAATTTTTCTATGTATATTAGTTGGCCAATTAATTTCTTTCTATTTATAGTAGAGGCGGCGTCTCGCTCTTACTCAGGCTGGTCTTGAAACCTCTGACTCGAGCAATCCGCCTGCCTTTGGCCTCCCAGAGTGCTAGGATTACAGGTGTGAGCCACTGCGCCGGCCCAGCCACTGGCTAATTTTCTATTTTTAAGTAGACACGGGCGTCTCACTTCTTGCCTCAGGCTGTGGTCTTTTGAACGTCTTGAATTTCAAGGGATCCTCCTTGGTTTCTTTGCCGTCTCATCTCCCTTTTTTAAAAAATAAAAAACTAAGGCAAAGTGAAAGTAGTGAAGAAGCGTGTGAAAAGTAAAAAACAGGAAGTTCAATTTGAAACTGTGAACAATTAATTGAGATAACTCACTACCTTTCAGACGCAGCTTTTTGGTCTCCTTCCTTCTCTTTGACTATCCATTTGCTTTGTTAAAGCTTTCAGATTTAGGTTTTTAAATTTAAGGGGGTATTTCCTCTGTTATTTTTTAATCCAGATCTACTTCCTCTCAAATTCCTCCCTGAATGGAAATTCGCAAATAATCAGAGTTTTTGCTTTGTAAAGTAAAGTGGGTTGGGACCCGAGAAATATTATAGGTAGGCCTTGGGTGGATTACCAAAATGTACCACTATATAGGGGGCCATAGATCACAAATATAATATTTAGCAGCCTTTCTACTCTTCAAGGACAAATTAAAACTATCTTTATATTTGTTTTTTACACAGAATCAAATTCCCAGACCAGCACATTGATCTACAGATTCCTTTTTTGTGGGGCAAGACTTATTTTTTATTGTCCCTTCCTCTTTTTGGCTCTTTTGGTTTCAATTCTGTCCTCTCTCCTTCTAGACTTCAAGACTGGTGCCTATTGATGGGGCTCTGCCTGGCTGAAAGTCCATTGTCTGTTATAACTCTTCCCTACATTTTTTAAGGGGAAAACCGGAAGTCTTTTCTAGAGTTGCAAGTAGTTGGGTTTCATCATACTTACTTTCCTCAAAACTCCTGGCTCCAAGCCGATTGCTACCTGCCTCACAGCCCTCCCTGAGCTTGGGGAACTATAGTTTTTATTACATCACCATGCCCAGCTAAGTTTTCTATTTCTATTTTTGTTTTTTTCTGGTAGAGATGATGGTGTTGTTCTTGCTTAGGTTATTCTCTAACTCCTGACCTCAAGCAATCCTCCTGCCTTGGCCTCTCAGAGTTCTAGGATTATAAGTGTGAGCCATTGCGCCTGGCCTCTTCCCTACATTTATTTAATATTTTGGGTAGCAGTTTTATTGTATTTTGTTCTACTTGTCAACGTGCTTCCATCTATTTCCTAAAAGATTTTTAAAACCTTTAATCTATTGAAGGTCTCTCTCCTGTTCTCTATGCTGTTATGGATTTAATCCCTATTTTATTTCCTTACTATCATTTTAATAAAGCCTCAAGCAAAAAAGATGGTACTTATACTCAGGCTGCCGTTTTGACCTGGCAGTTCTCTAAGCAAGTTACATTCTGCTCTCTCAGATGAACTTGCAAAAACTTTATTATTTTCTATTTTTGTATGTGAAACCACCTCATGTTAATGACTTATATAAATTAAACTGATTTTCTTTTATTACTCAAAAGGTTTTATTCAGAAACTCTCAAGTTTTGTAACAAAAAAGACAAAAATTATTTTTTTCAACAGACTTATAATGAATTGTTTAGATGTTCAATTTCAACTGACGTAACTCAAATAAAACAGATGACTCACCCAAGAAAATGTCGACCAGCATATTCATAGTCAATCTTCCAGAAGGACCAATATGTTTTATATTTCTCATTCCTTGTGATGAGCTATGTTCTTGAACAAATCTTATAATATTTTTTACATCATCAGTCACATCTCTTGTTTTATAATCCTATGGACAAAAAGAGATTACCTTCTACTATCAGTACAATAATGATACTTAGATTACTAGGGCTTAATATTAACTGTGGCAGATTCATGATAAACCATTTCTAGAACAAAACCAAGACTAAAAACTAAGGAAGTTTCAAATGTTCGTTCCTGTCTAAGTTCTAGAACAATTAGTACTCTGCTATACCTATGTTATTACTGTCTCAGTCATACCTCTCATTTTTCAACTATCTAATAGCACTCTGTGGATAGGAGTGTACGTGCATGTATTTTTAACAAAATCCTTTATATCTCCTAGAACAGTGTTCTGTGCTCTGTCACTTACTGGATGGCAATCATGACCTTTGGATGAAAAATACTGTCCTGCTATGCAAATTCACGAGTCCTAACCTTCTTTGGTGCCATAGTCAATTCTTTTTTGTTATTTCCTGTCAGTTCCCTTTCTTGTGGCCCTCAGTGTCCCCAAACGGTGCCCACTTTATTTTGTTTTTGAGACAGAGTCTCACTTTGTTGCCCAGGCTAGAGAGAGTGCCGTGGTGTCAGCCTAGCTCACAGCAACTTCAAATCCTGGGCTCAGCGATCTCCTGCCTCAGCCTCCGAGTAGCTGGGACTACAGGCATGTGCCACCATGCCTGGCTAATTTTTTCTATATATATTAGTTGGCCAATTAATTTCTTTCTATTTATAGTAGAGATGGGGTCTCGCTCTTGTTCAGGCTGGTTTCTAACTCCTGACCTTGAGCAATCCTCCCGCCTCGGCCTCTCAGAGTGCTAGGATTACAGGTGTGAGCCACCGCGCCCGCCTCACATGTCTCTTTGCCTTGGGAGCTGAGTGGTGCACAGGCAACTTACTCTGCTATACTGAAGCACATATGTTACGTGATGGGTGGCTCCCCGGGCAGACCCCTGCAGTTAGTTGGTTTGTGAAAATTACTTGTTGATGTTCTTATTGTTATAATTAACATTGCCAATTTAATTACATATAACTCATGCACAGAAAACAATAAAAAATAAATTTTTCATTAAATTAGAAGGGATCATTTGTTTTTGAAGTTTTTATTCTATGTTCGTAATAAAATATCATGGCCCCAAGGAAAAATTTTTTTTCTAGTGTGGCAGTCAATGTGTTAAATTACACAGCCAATGGCTATAATCACTATCTCTCATGAACTCTCACTTCCTTGTCTTTTAGGTCACTTTATCACATTACTTGGCAAAACACAGTAGATCTGATTCTCTACCCACTCCATCCCTGTACCTGTGTGGCTGAATTTGGCTGGAGAAACACATGAAACCATGTTGACTATTTTCATTTTCAATACATGGCCATAAACCTCAAGTGGACTGTTATGCTGCAGGTAATCATCATATACCCCCAGTCTACTGTTCCAGCAAAACCATGGCCCATGAGCTAGATGCCTGTTGTATAAATAAAGTTTTACTGGAACACAGCTATGGAACAGGATTGGACAACTGGTGTATTAATTGTTTATGTCTGCTTTTGGGTCACAATGGCAGAGTTGAGTAGTTGTGACAGAGACCATATGGCTGCAAAGTCTAAAATATTTACTGTCTGGCCCTTTAAGAGAAAGTTTGCTGACCCCTGTTCTAGATGACTATTTCATACTTTCTGCTTTCTCTTCAATCCTCTCTCGTATCCCGACTGGCAACCGATGATCTTTGTTCCCACTTAATTGAGAAAACTGCAGCTGTCACAAAGAAGAGAGCTTTCACAAACTCCCATCCCTACATCCACTCACTTGCCAGCATCTGCTCCACACTTTCTTACCTTCCTACCTGTTACTATAGATCAACTCTCCAAGCTCCTATTGAAAGCCAAGTTCTCTACTTTTACACAGATCTCAATCCCCTCTGTCCCTTTAAGGACAGTGCTTCAGCAATTCTCTCTCTTTCCTCACACATCAACTTTTCATCCTCTATAGCAGTGGTCCCCAACCTTTTTGGCACCAGGGATCAATTTCATGGAAGACAATTTTTTCATGGACTGGGGGCGGGATGGGAGGTGGGGTGTCATGGGTGGGTTGTGATGCGTGCCCCATTTCCTAACAGGCTATGGACCAGTACCAGGCCATTGCCTGGGACTTGGGGACCACAGGTGTATAGGTTCATTCCAATCAGCATAAAAAACATATTACTTCTCTGGTCCTTTCTTGACTCTACTTCCCCTGCTAGCTACTGCCCAGTTTCTTTGTTCATCTTTGCAGAAAAACTGAGTAGTCAATATTCACTGCCTCTAATTTTATCCCCCTCTACTGAAAATGGTCAAGTCAAGGTCACCACGATTTATGCAGTGCTAAATCCAATAGTGAATTCTCAGTTCTTAATTATACTTCATTTAGCAGCAGCATTTGACATACCTAGCACTCCCTTCTCCTGGAAACACTTTCTGTACTTAGTTTCCTTGGTTTTTCCTCTTACTAGTTTTCTTTCTTGGTCTTCTTTCCTAGTTCTTCTCCCCTTTCAACTCTTTATGTCCCAGGGTTAAGTCTCTGGTTTTCTTCTCTTCGGTCTAAAATTACGCCCCTGAAGATTTCATCTGATCTCATGGCTTTAAATATCAGCTACATACCAATCACTCCCAAATTTGTATGTACCAACAGCCTCTTTTCAGAATTCTTGAGATTCTGAATAGACCTACGTAACTCAATATGCCCCAAATCGAGCTTCTGATCTTTCCTGCCAAATAGCCTTCTACATCTTGGCTAAGGATAACTCCATTCTTCCAGTCACTTGGGCCTCTAGTTACTCTAGGACTCTAGCTCTCCATTTCCCCCAACCCCCCCCCCAGCTCTTAACCCTACTCAGCCACATGGGCTTCCTTCCTGTTCCTTAAACACACCAGGCATGCCCCCACCATAGGGCCTTTTTTTTTTTTTTTGGCAAATGCTTCTGCCAAGAATGCTCATATCCACAGAGCTGCTCAGCCAATCCCGTCAAGTGTTTGCTCAGATCTCATCTTCTCAGTAAGACTTCTATGGGCCACCTTACCTAATACTGCATCCTGCACCCCACCCATTATTCCTGTCTCCTTACTCTGCTGTGTTTTTCACTACAGTCTGTATCCCTTAACATATACTTATTGTGTGTACTGTTTGTAATCAGCCTCCCTCTGCTAGAATGTAAACTCCACAAGGGCAGGGATTTTTATTTATTTTGTTCAATGATGCATTCCAAATTTCTAGGATAGAGCCTGTTAAAGAGCTCAACAAATATCTGTTGAATGAGTGAACTGATTAGCAACGTTTACAGGGTGGGGTGGGGTGGGGTGGGATGGGAGGAGATGGTCACTAATCTGCAAACTTTACGCCTGTGCTCTGGCTGGTGCAGCATAACTTTGGAACTATACGTATTAGGCAGTATTCAACTTATAATAGATGACTGCACATATGTGTGCCCCACCTCTGGTCCATACCTTGTTTGCTTGTCAATCTCTAGCACCTTGCAAAGATATTTTAAATAATATACCAAATGTGAAAATGCTTAGTAAACAGTAAAGTACAGTAGACATTAAAACGTAGAATTATACACACCTCCTGGAATCTCAAAAAAAAAAAATAAAATAAAACGTAGAATTATCATAATTAAATTCAATAACCTCCCAAGGTTATATGAGGATGATAGTGAATTCATCCAGAAGCAATTGCCATTATTCTTCTTTTTGTTGTTTTTTTCTTTCTTTCTTTTTTTTCTTAACAAGACATCTACATATAGCCATTATTCTTTATAGTTTAAAAAGCTAACAAAAAAACTAATGGAGTAATTTAATTGATTTGAATTCAAACACACAGTACACTAGTCATTATTACTCTTTTGAGAATAAGATATTTAAATATAGGTTACAGCTGAATTTAAAATATTCTACTTGCTCATGTTAGATCTTTTGGATGTATATATATTAATGATATTTCTAAAATATCCTATAATTACCAGTATATATAATACCCTCAATATTTTGGACATGTGGATGTCCAGTACATATGTGTTTTTGCTTCTAATTATAAAGAGAAGATATTCCATAAAATTCCTTTTCAAAATGTTTCTATTCCAAATTACTATAAGGAGGAAGTCATCTTTCCCTGATTTAGTCCCTTGGGGACAACCACCTATTGTAATCCAATTTGTATCTATATTTCTAAATTAAAAGAAAAAATATCTTGGCAATTCCCTTAATTATAAAGAATTTTAAAATTTCTTATTTTACCTTTGTTTTACAGCAATTATCACAAGAAACATCTGGGTATTTCTTACAAAAATTAGAATTAAATCCATTTTCACCAAAGTAAGCCAAAAGCTGTATTCTCCGGCATTCTGTTATATTTTCACAGTAATGTACCATGCTATACAAATTATTGAAGTGAGTCTCTTTTGTGTGATGATTTCCATCTTTTTCCACTAAAAGAGAAAGAATATAGTAAAACATACTTATGTCTGAGAAAAATAGGGAATATCAGAATATCAGAGAAATATTTAGAATAGATCCATACAACTTTAAACATTAAATAAGAAAATTACTATCAACAGCATTATGTCAATATGATATCATCCATATTATAGTTAACTGGGAATTTATATTTATCACTCAAGATTTTAGTTTTATAGGAATAAATGTTAGATTTTTTTTTTTTCAAATTGAAAAAATATTTTTCAAATCTTCATTCTCCCCAGCGATGAAGGTTTGACTTACATTTATTATATTTAGCAGATAATCATGTACTGAACTGAACATCCAAAGTAAGCAGAGCAGGGGACGATGGAGTGGGCTGCACACTGCCCTGAGTATCTGAGGTCAAAGTAGTTATGCCAGTGGTTCCAACACTGTGCCAATAACCCCTGGGATGTTGTAGTGAACTCACAGGGGTGGGACATTTTAAATTTAAGGGAAACACAGCAATACTTGACATCTGTTAACATCACACAAACCTCTAGTCTGAGGTAGTTCATGGTCTTACCATCAGATTGTACTACATTCCTTTCAAGAGTATCATATCTTTGCAAAGCTGGAATTTTGGCAGTGGCTATGATAAAAACAAGTATATCAAGAAAATCAATGTGAAACAGGAAATGAGGGTGGCAGTATCCAATTTGATTCCAAAGTTTGAGAGCAGCAGGTGCATACTTCCCCTTAGTAAGCAATTATGGTTACTTAAGAATAAAACAAAACTATTATTTTTCTGCCAGTTTATGAGTATTATTTTTTCCAAATGGTTGCTAAGTTATTAGGACTTAAATACTTATTAACTTATTTGCACCTAATATAATGTAGGTTTTGTAAATGGGCAAATAAAGTATAAAAATTTCATTTTTTCCACTGAGAATCATCTTGGAGTCAGATAAACTAGGGTTCCATCAGGACTCTGCCACTTACTAGTTCTGTATCTCATTTTCTTCCTCTGTATGGAGGAAAGTAATAGTCCTATCTTTCAGGGTTGTTGTGCAGATGAAATAAGTTGATGTATGTAAAGCATTTAGAACAGCATATACTAAGTGCTAAAGAAAAACTATCTATAATAATTACTATTACAGTGTTACTACTACTACTATTCCTACCGCTCCTGTTGCTGTTATAACAGTGATCTTGGGGACAAGTTACAAAACCTTTATGAAGCTCACTTTCCTAATGGTAGTAGTTCTACTTCAAAAGCTAGTAGTTCTGAGCAAATGAGGTAATAAGGTGATACATGCAGTGTTTGCCACAGTGCTTGCTAAGTGCCAGTCCTCATGCTCAGTATCTCTGCCAGACTTAATTCAAAAGTGGTCTCAAAATAAATAAATGCATTTAGGAAATATATTTAACTATCAAAACCTTGTAGAAAAATGGGCAAAGGATATAATAAAATTCTAAAATATGTATTCACTTTTACTCAGCAAGTTTGTCTAGAAATATACCCTATATAAATAATTGTACAAATGCCCAAAGATACCTATCCAAAGATGTTCAATACAGCATTTTTTTGCTAATATATATATATATATTTTTTTTTTTTTTAAATTTCAGGATATTATGAGGGTACAAACACTTAGGTTACATTTTACGTTTTTGCCTCACCCAAGCGAGGATTAGAGGCATGCCCTTCCCCTCTACAATGCTCACCGCACCCATTAGTTGTGAGTTTACCCCCCAATACAGCATCGTTGACAACAGTGAAAGATAATAAACAATCTAAAGATCTATTAAGAGGAGATTAGTTTAATAAACATGGAATGATCATACTATGGAATTCTATATAGTCAAACTATGCATATTAAATGAAGTGATAATTACACCCTAGGGCTGACTAAAAAAATCAGGTCACTATATATATATAAATAAATACTATATATATATATATATATAAACAGTATGTGTAACATAATCCTAGTTACATTTTAAAACATAACCATTTGGAAAAGGTAAACACCAAGTATCATAAGATATTGCCTGCTTCTAATGGGGGAGAACAGGGATGAGACAGTACAGGCATATACAGAGTTTCAGCTCTCTTGGTTGTTTTATTTCTTAACCTGGAAGGTAGTACATGAGAGTTGATTATTTTCTCCTTTTTATCGTTATGCATGTTTGAAGTATGTGTGATGTGCAAGAATACGTGTAGAAATTGGGTCTGAAAGGATACAGAGGAAACCAGTAAGTGGAGTTATTTCTTAGGGTAAAACTACAAGGAATGGTTTGTAAATTTTCTGCCTTGTACATGTCTGTACCATTTGAGTTTTACATAACAAGCACGTACCACTTTTATAATAAAAAAGAACTAAAATAAAATTTCCAATCTATGTAAATATCTCTACTATTCTATGACTATTTAAGGAAAACTGTACCAAAAGTACCACAATAGCAGTAGATTACTATCATGAGACTGAAGATAATAGGATGTCTCTACAGTGGAGCTTGGCTTACTCATTATAAGTCTTTTTAGTCTGGTCACATCATGATAGGTATAGAAAAGCAGGCAGTGAGAAGTTTCCCCATCTCTTCCAGCTCTACCAGATTCTTGGTAGTAACCCTCCATGGACTTAGGGAGAGAGGCGTGAATCACAAATCGCACGTCAGGTTTGTCAATCCCCATTCCAAATGCAACTGTTGCACAGATAACCTGATGTAAAAGCAAAAGCCTATTAGACTCATAATGCACTTACGGGAACATTTTAATAATAAATGCTTTTAAAAGCTCTATTCCTTATTTTGTTTTAAAATGTACTTTATACAACAACCCAATATCTTAACCTGGTCCCATCATTTGGCATAACTGATATGAGATTTTCATGTTGACAACTTGCAGCTCTATTAAGAAGGTAAAGAGGGGCTGGGCACGGTGGCTCACATCTGTAATCCTAGCACTCTGGGAGGCCAAGGCGGGAGGATGACTTGAGCTCAGGAGTTCAAGACCAGCCTGAGCAGGAGTGAGACCCCCGTCTCTACTAAAAATAGAAAAAATTAGCTGGGCATGGTGTTGAGTGCCTATGGTCCCAGGTAGTTGGGAGGCTGAGGCAGGAGGATCACTTGAGCAAAGGAGTTTGAGGTTGCTGTGAGTTACACTAATGCCACAGCACTCTAGTCTAGGGAACAGACAGAGACTCTGTCTCAAAAAAAAAAAAAAAAAGAAGGTAAAGAGAAGCTGGGGGTGGCAGACACTTTCATGTACAATTAGGTATTATCACTTATCACATAAGGGAGCCAGAATCAATTGCAGCCAGCCTATGATGTGTTGCCACTGTTCTGTATTTCTGAAGACAGAATCTTACTCTGTCACCCCAGCTAGAGTGCAGTGGCATCATCATAGCTCACTGCAACCTCAAACTCCTAGGCTCAAGCGATCCTTCTGCCTCAGCCTCCCTAGTAGCTAGGACGCCAGACATGTGCCACCACACCTGGTTAATTTTTCTATTTTTAGTAGAGATGGGGCCTCGCTCTTGCTCAGGCTGGTCTTAACTCCTGAGCTCAAGCAATCCTTATGTCTTGGCCTCCCAAATCCCAGAGTGCTAGGGTTACAGGCATGAGCCACCATATCCTGCCTCTCTTATTTTCTTTGATATTGATGTGTAGGGGGGTTTTGCTCACATAGCCATGATATCCAGGTCAGCGATCATAAGCAACGAGTTGCTCAGGAGCTCTGGGGTGTTCCCTAGGCTCGAGCTCTCAGAGATAATTGCTATTAGCTCCTGCGATGATTCAGGAACAATGGTATTCTTACCTGCCCCACTGCTTACCATCACTTTTCCCAGTGGAACCAGCTGATCACACACCAACTCCTTTTATTTATCAGCTGATTCAAAGTCAAAGCTTGTGAAATTTTAATTGAAACACATGTGGGTAAAAGTCTGAGAGCTGCATACACTTTAAAAAGAGAAAAAGGACTGTAGATTTTGGCCCATACAAATTAATGGGGAGCAAGGTGACATAATAGTTAACTTTCAGGAGCCTGATAAATCAGTTTTCTTTTCTTTTCTTTTTTTTTTTTGAGACAGAGTCTCAATTTGTTGCCCAGGTTAGAGTCAGTGCCGTGGCATCAGCCTAGCTCACAGCAACCTCAAACTCCTGGGCTCAAGCGATCCTCCTGCCTCAGCCTCCTGAGTAGCTGGGACTACAGGCATGTGCCACCATGCCCGGCTAAGTTTTTTCTATATATATATTAGTTGGCCAATTAATTTCTTTCTATTTATAGTAGAGGCGGGGGGGGTCTCACTCTTGCTCAAGCTGGTTTTGAACTCCTGACCTTGAGCAATCCACCTGTTTCAGCCTCCCAGAGTGTAGGATTACAGGCGTGAGCCACCTCGCCTGGCCAATCAGTTTTCAAGAATATCCATTTCAGTTGCAAATTTAGGACCTATTTAACCCAGACCAAAATGTTATATCTCCAGGCAAAATTACATTATACAAATAAAGCTGCAAGTCTTTTTGCAGCACTTAAAAAATGAATTGCTACTGCAAGAACTGTATTTCAAAAGCAACCAAAATATCTGGCAGCCAGACCGAGGCTAATGATATGATTCGGTAACTGTATCAAAGAAAGGAACTGCAAGCTACAGAGTATGTGGACAGCAAAGGAGGAGTACGTTATCAACACTGGGATTGGCAGCGACCACACTCTAGGTTAGTCATCCATCTCATTTTATGACACTTTGATCATAAGCAAGTCTCCTCAGAAGGAGGAAATCTACTGTAGCCTCTGGTGATGGGGAGCAGAAAGGCTGTGAGGTGAGATGTGCCAGCCTCCAGTCCCAAAGCAAGGCCTGCAGGGTTTCATGGACCCACGTGCCTCTCCCAGCAGCAGGGTGGGTGCGTGCCTGCGAGGCACAGTCTGCAAGCACAGTCTGAGGCCACGAGGATGCCAACTCCTTCTGGAAGCTCTTATTTTGTATAACTGGGAAAACTGGCTTTGTTTAATTGTAACTTCCTTCTTTACGTCTGTGTTGTTTTTAAAACTTAGGGTACAATCATTCTTTGTGAAGAAAAACAACCAAGTTTTATTCTGTCTCACGAATCTAAGATCAAGGCTGTCCAGCTGGTGTAGCATAACGTACCGCTTGACTGCAAGGATTAGCAAGTCTGAGAGCAGAAACAATTAGATTAAAAAACACTCAGTTTTTAACCATATTTAGTCAAATTATTATATATATGTCTACATATATCTTCATTGTAGATTATGCTACATATAAAGATTTAAAGAACTTGGAAAATAATCTCTTAATTAAATGATTAGAAATAATCACTCTTAAATTCTAGACTACTTCCTTCCAGGCTTTCTTCTTTTGTTATTGTTTTTTGTAATCAATTTTCTTTTTATACGGTTAAAATTATATACTTTTTTTTTAAGACAAGGTCTTGCTCTGTCGCCTGGGCTAGAGTGCAGTGGCATCATCATAGCTCATGCAATCTCAAGCTCCTGGCCTCAAGTGATCTTCCTTCCTCAGCCTCCCGAGTAGCTGGGACTATAGGCACCCACCATCATGCCCAGGTAATTTTCCTATTTTGTTGTAGAGACAGGGTCTCACTCTTCCTCACACTGGTCTCGCACTCCTGAGCTGAAGCGATCCTTCCATTTCGGTCTCCCAAAGTGTTGGGATTAGAGGTATGAGCCACCTCACCCAGCTGAGATTATGTACTTTTGAAGCCCATTTTCTCCTATCTTTCTCCAACATTAGCATTTGAACATCTTCATACATTTCTGTTGCCTGGACTAGAGTACAGTGGCATCACCATAGCTCACTGCTACCTCAAACTCCTGGCCTCAAGCAATCCTTCCGCTTCAGCCTCCCAAAGTGCTAGGATCATAGGCGTGAGGCACCACACCTGGCATCATAAACCAGTTTTACTAGAGGAATGTACCATCATGTACCCCATCTTTCTCTCAAGACATGTAAACTATTTATGTTAGGTTATTTAGTACTAAATATTAGGCTATTTATTATTATAAAAAACACTGATGTAAATTCCATGCCCACTTTTCAGATCTGGGGCTCTTGACATAGCCAGCCATACTGTTTACCAGAAAGGCTCTGATGAGTACTGCATAAAAGTGCCTCTTAAAGCACTGTTACTAAAGATTAAATAAAAATTTGCTAATTAAAGGTGAAAAATGGTCTCTTATTGTTTTAAAATTTGAATTGCTATGGTTAGGAAAGTTGAGCTTTTTTTTTTTGGAGACAGAGTCTCGCTTGTTGCCCAGGCTGAGTGAGTGCCGTGGCGTCAGCCTAGCTCACAGCAACCTCAAACTCCTAGCTCAAGCAATCCTCTGCCTCAGCCTCCAAGTAGCTGGGACTACAGGCATTCGCCACCATGCCGGCTAATTTTTTGATTATATTAGTTGCAATTAATTTCTTTCTATTTATAGTAGAGACGGGTCTCGCTCTTGCTCAGGCTGGTTTCGAACTCCAGACCTCCAGCGATCCGCCCGCCTCGGCCTCCCAGAGTTAGGATTACAGGCGTGAGCCACCGCTCCCGGTGAAAGTTGAGCTTTTAAAAAACACTTGTATTTCCTCCTTTCCAATAGTCTATTTATTAGGTTAGGCTCATTTACTATTGAGACTCATGTTTTTCTTACCAAATTTTTCAAGCTTATGATTTATTTGTTGAAAATATATTTCCTATTTTGTTGCCTGCCTTTTAATTTTGTTTATCAATGTAGAAGTGTTTCGTTTTTAAATAATTTCTAGGAATTATTTCCTTTTAGGCTATTTTCAAGCTTAGATTCTCCTCCACTCAGAGTTCATACATTATAAAATATCAATGCTTTTATTTATCATTCATTCACTCATTTATTTAGAGACAGTCTCACTCTCTTGCCCGGCTAGAGTGCCATGGCATCAGCCTAGCTTACAGCAACGTCAAACTCCTGGGCTCAAGTGATCCTCCTGCCTCAGCCTCCCGGGAGCTGGGACTACAGACATGCGCCACCATGCCCGGCTATTTTCTTTTTCTATTTTTAGTTGTTTGGCTAATTTCTTTCTATTTTTAGTAGAGACGGGATCTTGCTCTTGCTCAGGCTGGTTTTGAACTCCTGACCTTGAGTGATCCGCCTGCCTCGGCCTCCCAGAGTGCTAGGATTACAGGCATGAGTCACCGCGCCCCGCATATTTATCTATAATTTATTTTGATGTGAGACTCTAAAATTCCCCTCATCCGTTTAGTAACATTAGTTGAATAATCTTCCCTTCCTCCCTAATTTTTGTTTGTTCGTTTGTTTGTTTAGAGACAGGGTCTCCATTCTTTTGCTCAGGCTGGAGTGCAGTAGCACCATCATAGCTCACTGTAACCTCAAACTCCTGGGCTCAAGCGATCTTCTTGCCTTAACTTCCCATGCAGCTAGGGCTATAGGCATGTGTTATCATGTCCAGTTCCCTTTTCATTAATATTTTTAAACATTATTTTATTTTAGCGTATTATGGGGGTGTAAGTGTAAAGGTTATGTATATTGCCCATGCCCCCTCCCCCCTTCATTAATTTTTAATGCCTCCCTTATCATATATTTCTTTTATATGCTTTCTAGTGTATTTCTGGAGCTCTGTTTCACTATTCCATAACATACTGCAAACTAGGGTTCATGTATTATGTTTTTGCCCAATTCTTCATTTTTCACTTGACTTTTCTTCCAGGAAACTTCAGAAAAAGTTTATCAAAAACAAAAAACACAAGTTTGATTAGCTTAAATACATAAACTAATATGGGAAGACTAAAATTTTTAATTATTTCAGTGAATATAAATCAGTGACATATTTTGTGAACTTTTTGCATATCTGAAAATGCCTTTCTATTGTTTTCAATATAAATGACAATGAGCTGAGTATGAAATTCTTCCATCTCAGTCTTCCCTCTTCTGATTCCGATGATAGCCGTCTCCTATTTTATATATATATGTTACATATTTATTTATAATACATTTGACTACTATTACCTGTTTCAACTATCCTGTGTTCTTCCTTGAGTATAGGTACTACTCTTAGGCTGAATCTTTACCTCCTGTTGCCAACAAATATCATTTCCCTTTTTCCCCCCTCCCATTCTTAGATTATTCACTATTGCACTGATTTGACTGTCTGTACTGAGTCATCCTATTTGTGTCTTGATACATAATTCTGCTATTAGTTTTGTTTTTCTTATTTGGATAAACTGCATTTTTATTTCTCCCTTCATCTCAGCCTGTCATCTTCTTATGGAAAATTATTTCCAGTTCCTATAAATCAAGTCTTTTTCCATCTTTGTGAGGACAATAGGCTGATAACCTCTAAACTTTTCTTCTATTTTCCCAGTAGAAAATAATTTTGAGAAATATTTTTCCTCTGAATCTTCAGGGTAAATGGTTTTTTTTTTTATTGAGCTGAAAACTTTCAGAGGCTCCAAATAATTATTGGTTGTTTGCTCAAATTCATCCTTGCATTATTTATCTATCCAAGGCTGGGATCTGCTACAATATGAGATGCCTAGAGTGTTCTCAGATTCTCTCTTCTTTTTCTTTCCTCTTTTTATTATATATGTATATATATATATATATATTTTTTTTTTTTTTTGAGACAGAGTCTCGCTTTGTTGCCTAGGCTAGAGTGAGTGCCGTGGCGTCAGCCTAGCTCACAGCAACCTCAAACTCCTGGGCTCAAGTGATCCTTCTGTCTCAGCCTCCCAAGTAGCTGGGACTACAGGCATGAGCCACCATGCCCGGCTAATTTTTTCTATATATATTAGTTGGCCAATTAGTTTCTTTCTATTTATAGTAGAGACGGGGTCTCGCTCTTGCTCAGGCTGGTTTCGAACTCCCGACCTTGAGCAATCCGCCCGCCTTGGCCTCCCAGAGAGCTAGGATTACAGGCGTGAGCCACCGCGCCCGGCCTATTTTTTTTTTTTTTTTAAACAAACTCAGGCTCAAGTACAATCTCAGCTTCCCTCTTGACCCACCAGGGTGGGGCAAATTAGCCATCTAGAAAAGAGACACCCAACATCATTAGTTATTAGGGAAATGCAAATTAAAATCACAAAGATGTAACACTCTTCACCCACTAGGTGGGTGGTATATTTAAAAAGATGGAAAATAACAAGTATTGGTGAGGAAGTGGAGACAGTGAAACCTCATATGTTGCTGCTAGTGAAAATGTAAAACTATGTAGCCACTTTGGAAAACAGTTTGGCAGTTCCTCAAAAAGTTAAACAGAGAATTATCATTTGACCCAGCAATTCCATTCCTAGGTATCTACCTAAGAGAACTGAAAACATATGTCCACACAAAAACTTATGCACAAATGTTCACAGAACCATTATTCGTAGTAGCCAAAAAGTAGAAAAAAACCCAGATGTCTAACCAGCTCATGAGTGGATAAATAAACTATAGTATATCCATATAATGTAATATTATTTGACCATAAAAAGGTATGAAATACTGATATAAACCTTGAAAAATTATGCTAAGTAAAAGAAAATAGTCATAAAAGCATATATCTATATGATTTCATATAGAAATGAAATTTTATATGAAACATATACAATAGAAAAATCTATAGAGACAGATTAATAGTGGTTAGTAGATTAGTGGTTGCCAGGGACTGGGATTTGAGGGAAGTGACTGGGTGTGAGGTTTCTTTTTGAGGTACTAAAATGTTCTGGAATTAGTAGTGGTAATGGTTGTATAATCTTGCAAATACACTAAAAACCACTAACTTGTATACTTCGTTTGCTTATATACTATAGAAGACTGTTTCTATTATTTGTTTATTTTAAAAAATGCTACCTGACAGCCATCCTGATTAATCCACTTGTGCTGCACCTCATCTCGGTCAGAGTCACTGAGGCCAGCATGGTAAGCCAGAGCAGCGAGACCATCTTTCTGTAATGTGCCAGCCATTGTGTCACATTCTCGCCTAGAGAGGCAGTAAATTATCCCTGAGTCATCTGTCAAGAAACCAAAACAATATTGAGAAATGAGGACTTTCAACATAAATAACAACACAATTTACATTACGTTCTTAGAAACGTTTGACGCATAAATAGATCTCCATAGTGTTCTTATGGTGTTAAAAGATCACACAGCCAGAATAATTCAAGCAAGGAATTCATATGCACTGGAAATGAGACATGGCTTTAATCCTGTTCCTGCTAATAATGACTCATGAGGGAGACCTGGACAAACCCTGGGCTCTAGTTCATGCTGGCTAGAAAGCAGGCAGGCACTCCTTTTCTGCCTTACAAGAACTTAAGTGAAAAGTTTTGTTTCTAAATTTAAAAATTAGAAAGATTTTAATGGGCAACATTAGGGAAATAATTAAGAAAGGAAATTGTGAAATAAAATATACTATAACTATCCAAAGTGTTTTCTAACTTTTTAAAAGACATGGAAAAATACTCAAGATGTAAAGCAGGTTAAGGGTAGAATCACCATATATATGGTAAGCTAATGGAAAGAAAAATGCATACAAAAATACTAGAAGTTAAAAAGCCAAAATGACAACAGTAACTTAGCTCATTGAGTGAAGTTTGTTCTTTGTTTCTTTTTTTGCTTTCTAAATTTTCTACAATGAGCATGTATTATATTTATTTTTTGGTGTATGTTATATTTAAAATAGAAAATAAAGGACACTAAAGAAAAAGTCATCTTTCTATGACAGAGCCAAAAGTATAGAAATATACATTAAGTTATTTATATTAGTCACCTGGGGGAGGTGGGCTGAGAAGGGAGATCACTGGCCTTTTCTTGGTATATGTCTGTATTGTTTGATTTGTTCACACAAACGTGTATACTAATTTTTAAAAAATAAAATATTAATAGAAGAGTTTACTGAAAAAAATCTGCATGGAAAAGTAGAAAGTGGAAAACCACTATGAATTTCAGAATCTCATTTTAGTTAACATAACTCAAAGGTAGACACACTTGGGAGAAGGCACTAAAACAAAAAGCTGTATAATTCATACACTTATAAAAGCCAGAGGAAAGACATTGAATTCAAGTATTATAAGTGTGTAGGAGGGAGTACTTAATATATTTTTTGTTAGGGTTTATTTTTATCAAACCAAATGAGATTTTATAATTTCCAGAAGTGAGAGAGTCTCAATATTCTCTATAAATAGCAAGTTAGTGCTATCATAATGCAAAAAGACATGTTTAATATGCAATTTTACATATCCCATTGTGGTACTAAAAAGACATTTATCTATTACTTCTAGGCATAATTCATTACATGGCTGTACTCACGTGGGTGATGCTTTCTGATCCATTCTAAGCAATCAAATGCCACCTTTTTAGGCTTTTTCGGTAATACATAGTATTTCAGATTATGTCTGTTAAAGCTCATGCTAAACCTAAGAGAGGTCCCAAACATAAAATTTAGTCATTATGAGAAAATACAGCTTTAGCCATTGTTATGGACAAAATGTATCCCCCTAAAATCCTAACCCCCTGTGTGATAGTATAATATTACGAGTTGGGTCCTGTGGGAGGTAATTAGGTCATGAGGATGGAGTCATGTATGAGACTGGTACTCTTATAAGTAGAGAGCTCGCTGGATTCCTCTTCCCCCATATGTGAGGATACAAAATCAATACTGCCATCTACAAACCAGGAAGAGGGATCTCACTAGACAAGAGATCTATCAGCATCTTTAATCTTAGACTTTCCAGCCTCCAGAACCATGAGAAATAAATTTTAAGCATCCCGTCTATGGCATTCTGTTACAGCAGCCCAAACTGACTGAGACATCCATCTTTGAAAATTAAGCACTGATTTTCCACAATGCAAACCTAATTATCAAATTGACTTAAGTTGAACATTGTCATTGGCAGCTTATACTGAAATGGAAGTTAGGGTTAAAAAAAAGAATGGTGATAAAGACGGAACGTCTGTGAGACTAGATGACAAAAAATTAGGACTGTAGAAGAGAAATGTAGGAAAGACAAGGTAAGCCTCCAAGATGAGGCTGATTAAAAGCAGAGATGCCTAGAACATTATTTAAAAGATTAAGAATATCACAGAGGAAACATATGCATATTTTTAGGCCAAGAACATTCCCAAATTTTGACTGTGTACATAAAGAGCTGATTGCAGGGCAGCAGAAGGAGCGAAAGCCCTACAGATCACAGATTACTTTATTTTTGCTCTGTTCCCTAAAGGGAATGTGGCTGACTCTGAGACAGATGTGCTCCTCCTTCTCCTCTGGTCTAGTGCTCTTGGCATCCCATTTCCGCCCTCCCATTTCCTCAGGGAGCACGTTCTCTCCAATATCTCCTCTCTCATATTTTCAGCTTCTTCTGTGAATTCTTTCCTTCTGTCTCTGAATATGTTCTAGGACCACTTATTCCAAAAACAACAAAAGCTTCTCTCGACCGTATCTTCTATTCCACTTCTCTCTTTCCCTCCAATGGCAAGTTTCTCAAAAGATATTATACTTATGTCCTCAACCAACTAAACACATATCCAATTTCAATTCTTATCACTTCTGTTCTGACTTTTGCTACTATCATTTTACCAAAATTATTTTTTCCGAAGCTTTTAAAACTAAAGAAAGGTCAGGAAATGTTTACAGGGTCTCTGCCTTCCACTGCTCCAAGTTTCAACTATATCCAATCCGCAGGATAGGTAACACTGTGGAACAAGTTAAGGTAGAGCACAAAGACATTTCCATATTTGGGGTGACAGATAAAAACAAAGACCATAAATTGCAATAACCTATGGTAGGGTGGGTGCCTGTATACAGGGGTGCAGATCAGAGGGAGAAAATCAGAGGCTTTCTGTTTTTGTATCTAAATCCAAGCTAGATGGGTCCATGCGATAGGCAGCAGTAATCTTCTCCCTGCATTTGGTCTGCGCAATGGCTGGTCTCTCAGACCTCATTCTCTCTGACCTCTCCATACTCCACGTTGCTGGTTATCCTTACCAAAAACCTCTATCAGCTCTTGCAACTTTATATTCCTCTGGGTTCTTCTCCACTTATGTCTCTGATTTCTCCATCTCCTTCTCTACTTTCTTTGTTTACTCCTTGAGAATTACCACCCCCGCCCCAATACCTGGCTCTCTTCTCTTCTCTCTTGTATTATTAATATCTCCTTCAGCACTCTTATTACTTTGAATAGCACCCATATTTCATTCCCATAAGTCTCAAATTTTGCCCTCAGGTTAGAACTCTTTTCAGAGTTCCAAACCACATTTCAGCATCTTTTTAGACCAGTGGTCTAAAATTAGGGTGTGCATACCCCTAGGGGTTCACAAAGATGTTCTAAGGGTATACGAGCAAAGATAATTTTAAAGGAATCCAGATCCTCAATTTTTTTTTTTTTTTTTTAGGCTGGTCAAGTGGTAGATCCTCAATTTTTACATGCATAGTTGTCCCATGGTATCCATAGGGGATCTGCTCCAAGACCCCCTTGGATACCTAAATCCAAGGATGCTCAAGTCCCTGATGTAAAATGGTGTAGTGTCTGCATATAACCCATGCACACTCTCCCATGTGCTTTAAATCATCTCTGGTAGCATTATTCAGAGCAGTCAAAAAATGGAAACTACAATATACATCAACTGGTGAAAAGATAAAGAAAATGGGGTATACCTAACAATGGAGTATTATCCACCAATAAACCTTGAAAACATGCTGAGTAAAAGCAGTCAGTCACAAAAGACGACATATGGGGTGATTTTATTACTATGAGATATCCAGAGTAGGCAAATCTATATATAGAAATTAGACTAGTGGTTGCCTAGGGCTGGTAGGAGGGATGTGAGGGAAAATGAGATTGGACTGCTAATGGACATGTGTGTTTTTGGAGAGTAATGAAATGTTCTAAACTGTGATGATGGTTGTACAACTCCGAATAAACTAAAAACATTGAATTGTACAATGTGAATTGTATGGTATGTGGATTATATCCCAACAAAGCTGTTATTAAAAACATCTGGCACATAATTTAAAATTTTTGATTTGTGACATAATTGAAAAAACTTAGAATTGTTCACTGGCTAATTTAGCCAAACAAATTACTTTTACTAAAAATAATAAAATGACGAGATTAGAACATAAAGTTGTAGATCACAAATCCAATTAAAACCAAGACAAATATCTCTACCAAAAAAGGACTGTGGGTAACTACCTAAAAGCAATATTCATACAATTTGTTATAATGAAAAAGTTAATAGACCCTTAGATTTTCTTATTACATGTAACAAATCTTACTCTGTCTGTAGGAAAATAGAATATTTAGAATTACCAAATATCTAGTTAGGGACAATTCCCATCAATTGATGAATGGATAAATAAGAGGTAGAGTATTATTCAGCCATAAAAATGAATGAAGTACACAGATCAATGCTACAACACAGATGACCCTTGAAAACATTATGCTCAGTGAAAGAAGCCATGCACAAACAAGAAGGGGAGTATGGGGAGTAATTGCTAATGGGTCGGGTTTTTTATTGGGGTGAAGAAAACTGTAAATTCTAACGTTAGATATTGAGGATGGTTGAACAATTCTGTGAAAATACAAAAAGCCCTATTGAATTGTATCCTGTAAACAGGTGGATTTTATGATGTGGGAATTATATCTCAATAAATATGAAAAAAACACAACATTGGATTCCATTGTTCTTGACTAAGAATGTACTGAATGTTAAATATTGTATTGGATGGTAAGTATTATCAGGTCCTGGGTGTCAAACTCATGTCACTTGAAAGTGATGTGTGAGGAAACAAGAGACAACTTGAGCTCAGCTCTTGTTGCTTTCACAATTGAGATAGTTGTCATGGGGATGTATACTAAAGTGTTAATGTGAATTGAAAAATGAAGTCAGTGGGGTTCAGTGGTATGTGTCTGTAGTTTTAGCTACTTGGAGCTAAGGTGGGATCACTTAAGCCCAGGAGTTCGAGACCAGCCTGGGTAACATGTGAGACCCCATCACTATAAAAAATTTACAAATTACCCAGGTGTAGTGGTACACACCTGTAGTCTCAGCTACTCAGGAGACTGAGGTGGGAGTATTGTTTGAGCACAGGAGTTGGAGGCTGTGGCGAACTATGATTGCGCCACTGTAATCCAGCCTGAGCGACAGAGTGAGACCTTGCCTTTATTAAAAAAGAAAGAAAGAAGAAAAAGAAAAGAAAAGAAAAGAAAAGAAAAGAAAAGAAAAGAAAAGAAAAAAGAAATCTAATTTGGCTGATTGATTTGGCAAAAAAGACTGGCTTTGTCAATTAGATTATATAGCAGTCATTTCCCATTATTGGAAAGAGCTAGTCTGCAGCCACAAAGTTTTGACAAAACTATATTTAAAAGCACATCACAAAATAAAAACATTTTCTCAAAAATACCATATTAGGGCTAGGCCCAGTGGCTCACGCCTGTAAGCCTAGCACTCTGGGAGGCCAAAGCGGGTGGATCGTTTGAGCTCAGGAGTTTGAGACCAGCCTGAGTAAGAGCGTGACCTTGTCTCTACCAAATACAGAAATAAGTTAATTGGACAGCTAAAAATATATAGAAAAATTAGCTGGCACATGGTGGTGCCATCCTATTCTCCAGCTACTGGGGATGCTGAGGCAGAAGGACTGCTTGAGCCCAGGAGTTTGTGTTCGCTGTGACCTAAGCTGACCACCATCGGCAATCTAGCCCCAGGCAACAAGTAGAACTCTGTCTCCAAAAAAAAAAAAAAAAAAAAAAAAAAAAGAGAAAAAACACCGTATTAGGAAAGGTGTACTGAAACTAACAATATTTTGATTTCCCCAGACTCTACCAAATATAGTGGATACAACATACAGGGTTCTTGTTGAAAGAATAATAAGAATACTTAATAGTCATTAGATAAGTCTTGCAAAGCTTAGGGTATATTTTCCAAAAAATAAAGTGAATAACCATTGATCTTGCTTATTTTGCCAGCCAGGTCGTTTACAATTATTTGTTTGCCACAAAATTTGAAGGACCTAATTGAGCTGTCAGCTAACAGATCATTAAAAGTAATTTCTGATGACAGATCATTATGTCATTTTGGCATATATGTCAGAAGAAATTCAAATAATTGAGTGTTACTACTATATAAAATGCTTTCCGTTTCCATCTACTTGTTTATGTGAGCAACATTCTTAGTGCTTACAACTATACAAATAAGAAATACGAGCTGACTCAATTTGTCTGCAGATATGTGATCTAACTTAAAAACAAAAAGTTCTGCAGTGGCTTACGCCTGTAATGCTGGCATGCTGGGAAGCTGAGGCAGGCGGATCCTTTGAGCTTAGGAGTTTGAGACCAGCCTTAGCAAGAGCGAGAACCTGCTCTACTAAAAAAAATAGAAAGAAATTAGCCAGACAACTAAAAAAAATAATAAATTA